CACACAATCAATCAGAGAATGCATATGCGGAAAAGATAAATCAAATACAACACAATTAGAGGACCTCTTACTGCAGTCCTCTTTGAAACGTAACATGTTAGATATTAGATGTTAGATGGCCAAACCTATACAGCAAATTGACAACTTCCTTCCATTGTCCCTTTTACCCCACTCGGTCCTAACCACAAAGGTTAAAAGACCAGTGATCCGACTGTAATACACGGCCCAAGGCTGCAATTCCATCCCTCCGTGGATTACTCGGCAAAGTCACGGCCAAAGGATGTAATTCCGTCCCTCCGTGACTCCCGATAGGAAGTGTCAACCGCCCTCTACTGTTAGGAAGTTAGAATGTTAGTACGTTAGGATATTACATGATCCTCTTGATCACTTGTAATAACTTAACTCCACACATAAAAATTTACTTTAGACCCGCATGTATCTAATTAAATCACATTCGAATCAGCTTCCTCTTGAAATCCTGCATCCACAAAGGTTAGCGGCAAATACAAACATAACCATCCCATGACTCATGCAACATGCAATCACACAATCAAACATTATGCACAAACAATCAAAGAGAACACTTAACTAAATTCCTAGAATTCTATCAAGAACCTCTACGACTACAAAGCATAACAATAAACAAGCCACATGTGCCCTACTCATCTAGCACACGACAAACATCACCAAGACTCACCTTATTCTGAACGGTTAGAGCTTAGATTCGAACTTAGACTCTAGACCGGACCTGGTTCTTTGGCTATTCCACGGACTACTTCCTTCACGAAAATGGACATAACTTAGGCTAGACTTTCAACCAAAGACCTTGCCGATATGGTGGTTCACGAATACGCTTGAACTAGATCACAAACGCGAACAAAGATCGGATTTTCTATACTGATTTTGTCAGAGGTTTGGAACGAAAACTATGAAGAAAATGAGAGCTACTTAGGTCCTATTTATAGGATTAGGGAAGTAGGTAAGCACATGAGGACGGTCAGCGTGTATGTGTCGTGCTTCCCGATGAGTCATTACACACGGCCGCAACACCTCGTGCTTACAGATTTGTCGTGCTTGTGGATTTGTCGTGCTTCCGATGACTCGTCACTCAAGATCACGACACCTCGTGCTTACGGGATTTGTCGTGCTTCTAATTTTTCGTGCTTGCGGATTTGTCGTGCTTGTAGATTTGTCGTGCTTCTGAAGACTCTTCACACGAGATCATGACACCTCGTGCTTACGGGATTTATCGTGCTTGCGGATTCCAAGCACGTCAATCCCGAGTAGCTGTGTCGTGCTTCCGCAAACTTTTATATTTTTGTAAAAATATCAAGTTTGAAAGCACCTTGCCACCTCATGCTTCTTACCCCTTCGTGCTTCGGACCACCTCGTGTTTAAAATCCCGTCATGCTTGACGATATAATTATTATTATTTTTTCCAACAACTAGGTGTTGGCTCGATCATTCCCCGTAATAATTTTGATCTCTAGGCAGGGTTATTACATTCTACCTCTCTTAAAAAGAAATCGTCCCGAATTCTTAAGGTTGCTTACTTCCACCACTTGTTCCCCCCCTCGTGCCTTTGGAAAAGTTCGTTTAAGAAAGTTTTTCCTAAGTAACTAAGACATCTATCAATAACTATCAGTTTCTAGGATTGGGTCTCAACCTCTAGCTAGACTCAGTCAATTTCGAATACCAAATCATCCGCAATTCCACCACAAACTATAACTCGTAAATGCATGCATATG